TACGAACGGGGGGGCCCCCCCCCACCGCCCCCCCCCCTTCTCTGTTTGGGGGGCCCCCAGGCATCAACCCAGCAGCAGTTGCTGCTGTATATACACACAACGAATCGTATATTTGTTTTATATTTTTTTGTAGGCCGGGAGCAGCAGCAAAGCGAGAGATAGGTAGAGGAGGGAGAGAGAAGGGTTCAGTTGTCTCCTGCTGCTGCTGTCTCTCTCCTGCTGCTTCTTTATCACCACGGGGGCCCCCACCAGGGGGGCCCCCACCAGGGGGGCCCCCACCAGGGGGGCCCCCACCAGGGGGCCCCTTCATAGATAAACCCTTACTTCTTGTTGAGGGGAGAGGAAAGGAGACAGAAGAAGGAGACAGAGAAGACAGAGAGATTTTGTCTCTACCCCCTATACCTGCTGCTGCTGCTGCTGCTGCTGCTGCTGCTGCAGCAGCACGTGTTGCAGCAGCAACTGCAGCAACACGAGCAGCAATACGCTCAGATGTTACCTCCGATATGCTGCTGCTGCTGCTGTGAAAACCATCAGCAGCAGACAGTACCCTGTCTTCTCCTAGGCGGAGACGAGGGGGCCCCCCAAAGATGTAAGGAAAGGGGTGGGGGGCCCCCCAGCATCTATAGGAGAAAAGGGTATCCTCGGGTAGGTGAAGGTTTGCTGCTGCAGCTGCTGCAGTTGCTGCTGCTGCTGCTGCTGCTGTTGCTGCTGCAGCAGAAGATGCTGTTGATGTAATTCCCGCTGCAGTTGTCTACGCTGCTGCTGCTGCTGCTGCTGCTGCTGCTGCTGCTGCTCTTCTTGCTGCTGCTCAGATACAAACTCAGGGGGGTCTTCATATATAAACAAATCATCATCATCATCATCATCAGCAGCAGCAGCAAAAAGGGGGCCCCCGGGGGCCCCCCTAAACCCAAAAGGCAGCAGCAACGCATGCGGGTTGGGGGGCCCCCCTGGGGGCCCCCCTTGACGCTCTCCCTGCAGCGGAGACAGCAGCAGCAGCAGCAGCAGCAACAGCAGCAGCTGCTGCAGCAGCAGCAGCAGCGAGCAGCTGAAACTATATGCTAGACGGGGGGGCCCCCAGGGGCCCCCAAACAAGCAGCAGCAAGGGCCCCCCCACCTGGGGGCCCCCCTTCGTTTCATTGCTGCAGCAACAGCTTCTTATGGGGGAGAAGTACAACGAAAATAAATAAATAAATAAATAAATAAATAAATAAATAAATAAATAAACAAATTTGTTTGTTTATTTATTTATTTTTATTAATAAAGACAAGTGACGATGCATACGCATGCACTGGTGTTTGTATATTATATATTATATATAATATAATATA